GTATTGATGGTTGTTCATCGGCCCTTTAAATGCCTGTCATCTCTCAGCCACTGGAGTTATCACACACACAAAAAACTAAATCTGCTTGATTACAGCCAATTGAGCTAAAGGTGATCACTAATTACCGAGAAGATGAAGCTGGCCAGCAGAGAGGGAAACACACTGACAAATAGTTCATTTGAATAATTGCTGTGGCAGGAAGAAGCTGTCTCTTGCTGTCTGTTAGTAGCATTGAATAATACGTTGGAAGGAGGGAGAGACTGCCTCGCAAAATGTACTTCATAATGGGGAGGAAATCCGCTTGTAGCACAAGGTATAGTAGCAGCAAGTGCGCTTAGTACCAGCAGCGGAAACAGGAAGCACTTCTCGGTGTAAACATTTCTGGGGATGTGGGATTGTCAGGAGCTTAAAAAGATGTATTCTCCCATCAAGGAATATGCCTTCAACAGGGATGCATTAGATGAGAGGTCCCTATATCCACAAGACCATGATTGTTTTTTTTGTTTTTTTTTTCGAATTCTGCATTTTAACTGGTTTTCATCTCAGAAGAACTCTATGAATGTGATGGAAAAATATAGCAGAATGATTTGCATCACATTTTCAATAGAGGCGAAATATCGTACATAAAATATACTGGCAAATTTAGGGCATGCAATAATACGTATGCAGCATTGGAGAACAGAGGGCTATGTACAAAGGTCAATTGCGGGTCGGAATGGAAAAAGTGGAGCAGTCACCTTGGAAACTGTTGGAATGATCCAATGATTGATTGCTCCCTCTTTGGAACCTTGAAGCATAAAGTCTCCACGTATAATCTGCATTTATTGTTATGATGGGCAGCCCATTGACATGTATGTAAATGTATTAAAGCAAACACTTATTAAAAGGAAGAACTGGTTAACAAAGGGGTGATGATGGGAGTGGTACTGGAATATCCTGCAGATATTGGTAATGATACGTTTGGATAAAGCAATGACTAACTGGGTTGGGTGCTGTGATTTTTAAGGAGATCAAACAAGAGTGAAAAAAAAAAAGTCTGTGCATCCCATACATAGTCACTGGCTCATTTATCACAAGCAGGGGGACATCGAAAAGTTACAGATGTTCTGTTTGTAGAGCGCAGCAAGCTATAAACTGTTATTTTCCAGCATTTAGTTTATTTACTAATGAATATTATATTACCAATTCCTCTAATATAGAGAGCAACAAAATGGAATCTGGTGCTTGTATAATGTTTTACTAGAACACACTACTGTGAGCTTACATACCTGTCGTTGACTTTAAATAATTAAAACAGTCTTGTGTATATATAGACAAGTATATCTACAGTCTTTTTAAATCCAATGATTATACAAGATGTAGGCAACTATGTTTTGGGGTTTTCCTTGTTAAAACCACTGCGAATTGACATTGCAAGATGTAGGCCTCAAATTGACTATTTTCCCTTGTCCCCTTGTCAAAAATGTGTTTTGAGTCTTCCGCAATTCCCATGTTTCAGCATAAATGCTATTGTTAGTGTTCACCTTATTTAACACATATTCATGTTAAGAGATTATAGTGCATCCCATAACCAACTCCCTTCCAGAAACCGTGCATACATTGTACATTTGCCAAACTCTTACAGGTCGGTCGGACTTCGGTCAATCGATGATATACTGGCGAATGTGATGATCCGTATTTCACCAGAGGGGGGGAAAGCATTCAATAGATTTCGCAGCTCATTTTTGCTTTGTACTCGAGTCATACAAACTACACCAGATGTTTCATTATAATCTAACAAAAAAAAGATATTCTCTGTAAGAGTCTGGACCCCTGAAACTTACCAGGGTATTTTCACATGGAGCAGGCGGTTTATATATTCCAATTCCACCATACCTTCCAATTGTAATGAATGATATGTAAATGGTATGCCATAGTAATACCAATTCATCCATACCATTATTTTCGAGGCTTCTATGGGTACATTAATCCATGGAAGTTGTGATTTGGATTCAAGAAAAAAAAAAAATTACACAAAAAGTACACGTAACCTCTATAGGAAAACCTTAATATACTCTGACACAAACAGACAAATGGTATGCATAGATACCTTCTTTATTGTAATCTCTATTTGATAGCCAATAGCATGTGTTCTGTTTGTAATTGCAGAATATAGGGCACACAGAAACAAGTTAGAATAGATGATGCCAGCATAGTTGAGAAACTTTCTAACGTGGAATTCCGTCTATTATTTTACAAGGTGGGCCTCACTGATAACATCTAATGATGCGTATTCACTAACTGGAGATCGGTGGAGAATTGGACTGCAGAGTTTGGTCCAAATAAGAGCTGGAGAAAGAGCTAGGAAATGTCTCACTACTTCACATTCCCTGCTTAGTAACTAAGCCTGTTATTAGACCATGCAGAGGTCAATCCTTTCCTTAAGTCACATGGCTCTCTCTCATAGTATAAGTATTAATAATACACAGTTCTAAACAGTGGTGGCCAGTCTAGTAAAACAGTGGGGTATCTGTAAAAACCACAGCCACTACTTCGCTATAAAATATTCAATACACATTTATCAGCGATTTAAAATACAGTGGGAAACATTTGAATATACATACGAACACAAATAAATATACATACACAAAAAAACAAAAAAAAAAACACAGCATTGATTGTAATCATTGTAAACTTATTTCACAAGCTTCCTCACTAACGCCACTAAGCAGAAATTGAAACACCAAGGCTTTGTACAAGAATACTGTGTCTACAAAGCACGTTGTCTATTGTTAGAAATGTTGCAAAAAGACAGTGATAGATTACTTAGTATATATTTTGGCACAGCAAGGCAAACATCGATTTTCGATTTGACTGTTCTCAAGTCTGACAAAAGGAAGGGAAAAACCCATTCACTGCCTTCACTGTACTCCACACGCGTTATTAGATCGCTTCCGAGTTGCAGAATTAACCCTTGCACCGCGGGTGCGCTGGAACTCGAGCAGGACCTGCTACTTTTCTATTTCGGCCCAAGGGGTTCACAGCAATTGCTTCAAATACATATTATCCCACTGCAAGTGCAGTATTCATATTGCTTAGAACACGTACTTGTTTGAGGAGAACCAGTGTAACTAAATGCTGATAGACAAGATAACCAGAAAGAAAGAAGAGCTTGGGTTTTCTTTATAAAAATATGATCTGTAGACAGACGGATAGATGTATATACGAAATATAATAGTATCAACAATACAAAAACAAAAGAAGGATCAGACAAGTTATATGCAAAAGTAATGATTTAATGACTATAAGCAAGACAAAGCAATAGATTTGTGCTTCTTTTGCAGACCAGAGACAATGAAATGATTAGCCATGGTTTTTAGTACAAACGTTGACCCAGTGAGCTGTAAGTAAAGAACTCAGGGACTCATCTGCCACTTACTCTCACACTGTGCCACCACAGACTGTAAATTGACTCCAACTCCCATCATAGTCAGCACTGATTGAGCTAACAGGTTGTGGGGGCACAGTTGTTCATTCAGGTCCAAAATGATTGTTTATCAATAATATAATGTGATCAAAAGACCTTGACCCCCCCTCCCCCCATATGTTCATTGGCGTAAATATGGCCCCAAATGAAAATAGTCATCAATAATCTACCATACAATGACCTGGGATTGCCTCATCAATTGATTTTTCTCCCCAACAGATGCTAATGAAGTGTTTTAGACTTTTATTTTAAAATTTGAAAAACGGAGGGTTTATTTTACACCTTTTTAAAAAAAAAAAAATATACAAATAAAACGAATCAGTACCATTATTGCATGGGACCTTTCCAGATTCTAATTAGCAGAAGGCACAGGTGACCCCCTTTTAAAAATTTCAATACAATCAAACAAAAGAATAATAAAAAATAAAAAAAAAAAAGCCTGTGCTATCCGCAGGTGTGAAGCTGGATATACTTTAGAAAATGTAACAATGATTTCTGAGTGCATGAAAACAATATCTTCATTATAGTATTATAAATATATCATACAATACTCTCTCCTGTTTTGTCATACCAATATGGCATTTTACATTAAGCTTAATGCCAACTGATTCTTACAAAAGCGAATCATTAAACAAGTCAGTAAAATAAAATTAAAAAAAAAACGGCAAAATACCCGCTTTTTAGGCAAAGAGATTGTAAAACGTAAGAGCTTACTTATCTTTTGATCGATTCTGTGCAGCAAGGGATTAACCATTGTGCTGCCAGAACGGTCACACTTCCCTGGCAGCAACATTTTTTTTTTTTTTTGTTTGTTTTTTTATTAGACAACGCCAAAAAGAGAGAACAAAACATGGCTAACACGCAATAAACCGCTATTCACAGTGAAATGGCTACATAGAAGAGTTTCTATGTATTTCTCCTTTAAATAGGATGTTTAAGCACTTGGACTGGAGATGACACAGCGCTTTCTAATAGTCCACATAAAACAGCGTTAGAACAGGAACACCACAAGATGGGCCAGTTTATCTAATTCCCAAGATATAGACCAAAGTCATTCCAAGGTCAAGGCAATCCACGTACGTCTGGATACATCCACAACGACTTAAAGATACAATCCACAAAGCAAGAGGGATCCACTGGTTCTCTGCATTTTATTGTACATCCAAGCGGAGAACAGATAGGATTCGGACCCTGAGTAAGAGTCCAATAAAGGTCCAAAACAAGAAGCAGCGAGTACCCATTCAGTGTCGGCAATGCTGTTCAGAAAAATTATGCCCAAACCAGAATCCAGCTTTATATTTCCTTTTGTTGCCAATATAAACAGGAAATAACATCAATCTTGCATTCCATAGAAGGTCCAAAACAACGTCACCCAAGTCCTCAGAAGGCCATGTCCTGATTTCACTACAAAATATAAGCAACTCAGACAAAAAAAAAAAAAGTCACACAATTAGCATCTATAAAGCTGCAAATGACATGAAGAATTACAGAGTCTTTAAATCCTCCCTGGAACGTTGCTCTGACCGGTGGCCTCTCAGCCAGAGGAAGTGGCAGAAGAACCATTGAGGGATATTTTCCTTACTCTGTTGGTGAATAGGTTCTGGTGGTTGGAGCTTGAGTTGCTATTGGTCCCATTGATGGTGCTGGAGATGTGAGGGAATTGTGGGTGTGGGGACTGTACCGGTGTATTGGGACTTGGCATACAGGATGACGTTGAAGGCATTCCCCCGGCTGGGCTGCCCCCCTTTTCACTGCCTGAGTCACTTTCAAGGTCCCCACTGGTGTTATTAATTCTGTCTGCAGGGTGGGCAATCTTCATTCTCTTACAAGTGGGCCTGACCCGGTACTTCAAAGGGAGAGGACCATTCTGCAAATTGGGGGGAAAAAAAATATATATATATAAAGCCACACATAAATGGAGGTGAAGTTTAACCACGCATCACCCATCTGATCAAAGGCAATCCAAATTTACCCTTCTCCATGTATAGATATATGCAATATCCATTAACGTGTAATAGTCTTTCAGGGGCTCCTCTTCATACATCACATCGATCTGTTAAAAAGAAAATCGAAACAGTGTGCTTTATTTATGCTTTCACCACGTGTTCGGCTTTAAATCGGTGCCATGACTGTTCTGACACGTAGGGCGTTTATTTAGTACAAGATGAGATGTGTGAAGTTGGTTAATGGTTTTTCAAAATTTAAACCCAAAGAGCACTTTTTAGTCTTACATTTGCAAAGTTGATTATTTACGTCTCACACAGTTTAGTATCTTTGTCTAGTTTCCCTAATATTTAGGAGTTTATTCTCTAAACATTAATTGAAGTGCCTCGAAAAGCAGAGTTATAATATTAAGAATATACACACACACACATATATATATATATATATATATACACATATATACATACACACACACACACACACACACACACATACATACATACATATACACACACACACACACATACATACATATACACACACACACACACACATACATACATATACACACACACACACACACATACATACATACATATACACACACACACATATTGCACACAAGTGAATACGGCTTCGCTTTGCTAAAGGGGAGGTTAGAAAGGATATAGTATATGTTGTAATTCCCTTTAACTAGAAATTACCAATAGCCCAGAATAGAAATGCAGAACCACGGAACATGGAGGAAAGGAAAACAAAATGGGTCGGTGAAGACTTGTAACAGTTTTTTCACTGAATCACAGTGCACTATTTTAGTGAATAAACCCTTAATGTAATGCAGTCAGGTATATATCCACACACTATGGCCCTCTAGACCTTTAACATATTAAGAGTAATGTCTACCAAGTTATTTCACATATTTGTTTCGGTTAATAATCCAAAGGGGGCAGAAACACACAATTTCAAGATCTCTAAACTATAGGGAAAAAAAAAAATTCTACTCAGATTTCTGTTTGGAGCAACAAGCTCTTATACAACATCTCAAATATATCTTTGAATATTCTGGGATTTTTTTCAAGTAAATAAATAATTTTAAAAATCAATGTTCTTTAAAATGTGCACAAATATGATAAAACTTCCTTAGGCAGAGAATTCCACACCTAATTCTTACTGCAAAGAATGCAAAATGGCTGACTTGTATTTTTTCCTATTTATAAACATGTTAGAGAGTTAATTGCACTGACCCTGTATACATTTCTATAAATATCGTCACTGAGATTCCTTATTTTCCAAAGTCAGTCAGTTTAAGTCTTCTAGCTTTTACACATAGCTAATGTCCATCTACTTAATGTTATAGCTGCCTTTTCACTTGTTCTAATTCCACAATTTACTTATTTTAAGTGGCTGTACAGGCGTGTAACTGGGTAACCCGGTTTAATCGTCTCTTTGCAGCTCGAAACATGTTATTAAGTTTGTAAAGTTACCTGAAAGTTACTGGGAATGTCCATTTTACTTCTCAGAAATTTTCTTAGATGCATCACTGTCATTGCTGCAGGACAGCGCAAGTATCTCTTGTCATTGGCCTGAAAGAGAATTGCCCCCCAACTGGTTAATTAACTCACAGCACACATAGTATCAGATTATATACAGTGGGGTGTGTTCTTTAGAGCTTGCTCCGAGTGGTCAGAGTGATTGCTACAATTTGCAACGAGAGCTACACTGAAGCCCCCTCTAGGAGGCTGTTGGCCTTGTCACTGCAGCCTGTGCGTGCAGTGCAGCTCAATAGATTCAGTGTGCTGCAGCAGAAGCTCTGCTATTGCGGAGCCAAGACCTTCTGCTGGATAAACAATGAACATAGGGACGGCATGCAATAAAAGATGAGAGAGAGAGAGGGAGAGAGAGAGGAGTGTATCTGCCGTGGATATGCAAGACGTTTTTTGAGGCTTCTAGTCAAAGCACTGGGTTTACAAGAACTAAAATAATACAACATCATTAAAGTGAAATATGTTCCAATAAATGAAGACTATTACCTCTTCTTTTGATTTGTCTTTTTCTTTGTTACCTTTACAGTCCATCCTAAAATGAAAAATATATTTAAATAAAACACAATGTTGGACATTCCTCTTAGTCTTAAACCCATCATCAAGATGGAGGTAAAAAAGGAAAAGAAAAAAAATCCTCTCCCCCACAAAAATAAAAAAAAAACTAATCACTTACCTATTCTGGTCAAAGAATTCGATGGATAAACTTATAATTTCATCATCTGTAATGATCCTCTTGTCTTCATCTGCCACCTCCCCTCGGTCTTCATTGGAACCATTGGAGGCTAAAAACACAGCCCATTAGCTTAGAGACAGTTTTGCTGCAGGGTTATTTACTAAAAGGGAATTGCTAATGCTAAGCCAAAATATACTCCAATGTAGATATGTTTGGCTTAAAATTGGCAGATCCGACAATTCGTCATTTAGAACATAAACCTTGCTAGAGACATATTCATCCAAGTTCTTTTCCCATCGGCATAAAACAAACGTGGTGGGGGGGAGAAACACCTCTGTTACAGAACCATATCACCCCTCAACACAGCTTAAAGGCAGGCTACATGCTTAAACTTTATGTCTACCAAAAAAAAAAAAAAATTACTAGAAAACATTCGAATTGAAGGAAACATTTGATCAAGCTCGGAAATCACACTTAACTAAACGGTATTAAAAGAATCCATGAACTATTCTGTGACTTGTGGACTTAAAACCTCTATCAGTATAGAGTTCTAGTTTCTCGTGAACATATTTTATGAACAGCCTCTTAATGGTTTGTATCTATTTTACAGTTAATATAGTACTCCTATCAAAGACTGAGAACTCGCGAGTAAATACAGTTATATTTAGGGGAAACCATTTCTTAATACAATCCTTACAATATTGAAGTTCAGGTACTAGAAGTGACCATGCACTAAACAAGACTATTTTACCATCTGCAGAAGGATGGGCAGCATAGAAGTCTCTTCTTCTTTTCATTTCATCTACAAAAAAAAAAAACAACAACATTTTTTACAAATGGGATTTGTCCTATTAAGCTGGTTGGGTTACATTGTAAAAGTAGAAAACATAATGAAGGGCACTTACTTTTGAAAAGACCTGGTACCAACTTGTACACAATATCTTGGAGAGTTTTATCTGCCCTGGAGTTTGACAAAGAAAAAAAAAAAAAAAAAAAACACATTCAGTAAACTGTAGAAGATCTTGTTACATACCTGGCAATTTATATGATGCCCTAATTCCCCAGTGAATGCTGCAATAACACATACGGCTCTCCAGAAAAGCAGGGGAAGGTCAAGACCTACCTGATATTGAGAAGAGGTCTTGTTTTGTGAACTTGAACATCACAGATAGGACAATATTTGCTCGTCTCCAGATAACGCACAATGCATGTCTTACAAACTGGAAACAAAAGCAAAGATAAAACAAACGCATTATTACAATAAATGTCACCACAGAATAACGCGTCATCTTTCAAACAAAAAGCGTGCTATCTAAAGCAAAATAGGGGCGATTCTCAGTGCTTAATGGAAAATAAAGGGAGCTTAATAATTCAAGGTAACTCGCATGGCACTCGAAGAGTTAAAAGGGAGTTCACATTGGATTGTGCATCAACCCCCCACCCACCCGCGAATTCTCAGGAATCTAGACAAAAAAAGCCTTACTTACAGGAATGTAGACATTCAATGATGGTTGTTGCATCGATGAAATATCCTCCACAAAGGACACACATGAGATGGGGGTTGAGCTCGGTAATTTTGATCCTGGTTGTACGATGCATTTTTGCTGTACAAAGGGGGGTTCTAGAAAAAAAGTAAGAAAAAAAACCCCAGAATGGATAAGCTACCTGTGGCACCTGGGGTGGAGGGGAGGGAGGAGGGGTGTGGGGGAACACATGAAGTGAGCTGGTCAATAGACAGGGAGGCAGAGGATTCTGGGAAGATCCCCGGACAGACTTGACATTGAAGATCCATTTCATATGTACTGATTAACGCGCCGCGCAGAGACCTGACCTCCCGCGTTCTAGCCCCGCATTTAGTCATGCATAGGGGTGAATAGAATTCCAAGCTCTAGAATGTGTTACCTGCGTCTATTTACTAAATATACTCTCCGTTTTAGTCTGATATGCAGCACACCTACGTAATTTAAAAAGGAAGCCGACAATTCCCATTTCAAAGCTCTCAAAATGTATGGACACTATTTTGAAAGAGGTCATAAGACTATACAAAGGAAATTCAATTTTACAACTGCAAGTTAACCCAATATGAAACAAAGGACAACATATATTTGTATGAAAAGAGGTAAGGCACATAGTAACAGATAGGAGCATTTTAAAATGATACAAACAATAAGCAAAGAAATCAAAACGATAGAAAGCTCAATGCATTATTTATATCATTTACTTATAAAACCACCAGCAGCCAACCAGCCACAGAGAAATGTCCACCAGCCAGTCACAGAGAAAAGGTCCACCAGCCAGCCAGTCACAGAGAAAAGGTCCACCAGCCAGCCAGTCACAGAGAAAAGGTCCACCAGCCAGCCAGTCACAGAGAAAAGGTCCACCAGCCAGTCAGTCACAGAGAAAAGGTCCACCAGCCAGCCAGCCACAGAGAAAATCCACCGCCAGCCAGTCAGCCACAGAGAAAGATCCACCACCAGCCAGCCAGCCACCACAGAGAAAGATCCACCAGCCAGCCAGCCACAGAGAAAGGTCCACCAGCCAGCCAGTCAGCCACAGAGAAAGATCCACCACCAGCCAGCCAGCCACAGAGAAAGATCCACCACCAGCCAGCCAGCCACAGAGAAAGATCCACCGCCAGCCAGTCAGCCACAGAGAAAGATCCACCGCCAGCCAGTCAGCCACAGAGAAAGATCCACCGCCAGCCAGTCAGCCACAGAGAAAGATCCACCGCCAGCCAGCCTGCCACAGAGAAAGATCCACCGCCAGCCAGTCAGCCACAGAGAAAGATCCACCGCCAGCCAGTCAGCCACAGAGAAAGATCCACCGGGCAGTCACAGAGAAAAAGGTCCACCATCAGCCAGCCACAGAGAAAAGGTCCACCATCAGCCAGCCACAGAGAAAAGGTCCACCATCAGCCAGCCACAGAGAGAACACCTTTACTACCAACCCCCGCCCCTCCCCAAAAAAGAAAGCGTATTTCATTACCTGCCAAGGTGCAAACTCCTTTCTTTTGCCATTTACAGCCACACAGAAAGCTCTACCATTCGCTATCCAGGAGGAATAGTTAACATCATATCACTGCCAGTCACGGAAAAGCTCTGTCTGCATGCTAAAATGGGACTTTGATCATCCTCAAACCATTAACCCCCGATAATCTGCGCATCCTCAGTTTCCCTCTCAGGTTATTGGTGTGGCTGGGGATACATTAGGTTATCAACCAGACTGATTGCAATTAAAAGTGAGCCGGACATTGGTTGCAGACCCACCTCACCACGAGCGGTCCAGCTTGGAAAGGACACCCGGAGAGGAAGGGTTCCAGAAGACAGACTGATTTATTGATGGAAAAAGCACATTGTCGTGTTCTGGTGCCGAGCTGCAATCCTCCCGTTACCATAGCAACCTGCATTTACACTTGGCATCTTGCCACCGCCTGGAGATGGGGAGGGAGATCCACCAGCCAGTTACAAGGGGTGCCCAAGGCAAATGTCTTAACCCCTATTTGGCAGTGAAGACAAGCAGTAGGGAAAGGGTTAATTGATCTGCGACACTGAATATCCTACTAGCAGTATAATAACGGGGGTCGTCATATGGCTCTGGGGGCATTCGTTTATAATGCCAATCAGACCTGTGCCAGACCAAAAAATAACGGTTGCCGGTCAGCAGCCGAACTGCAACAGAAACAGCAACAGAAACAAACAGCAAAATATTCTTTAAAAAGTATCCATAATCAATACATACAATGGTTCACTAGATCTCAGGGAAACAAATAAAATTAACTAAAAGCGACGTGACAGGGGCACTAGAGGATTAAATGGAAAAGTGTGGGTGTTGTATAGGTGAAGTTATACATTAAGTGAGCTGTTGGTATAAACATGAAGCGAGGTGTACTAAGATGAACACGTAATAATGTGTGAGGGGGAATGTATAGAAAAGATGGTAAAAACATACAACGAGGTATAGATTTATGGAAGAGTAAGAGGCTGTTAAAAAGGGTAAAGATCCAGTGAGGTGAAAGTTATGGAGAGCGGTAAAAATGCAGTCAGATCGATTAGGAGTGTAATATCGAGAGGACATATTGGATAAGGGTTAATATGCATGGAGTGAGGCTGTGAAAGAAGGATGTAAACATGCTGTGAGGTTGTAAAGGAGGGATGTAAACATGCAGTGAGTGAGGCTGTAAAGGAGGGATGTAAACATGCAGTGAGTGAGGCTGTAAAGGAGGGATGTAAACATGCAGTGAGTGAGGCTGTAAAGGAGGGATGTAAACATGCAGTGAGTGAGGCTGTGAAGAAGGGGTGTAAACATGCAGTGAGTAAAGCTGTAAAGGAAGGATGTAAACATGCAGTGAGTAAAGCTGTAAAGGAAGGATGTAAACATGCAGTGAATGAGGCTGTAAAGGAAGGATGTAAACATGCAGTGAGTGAGGCTGTAAAGGAAGGATGTAAACATGCAGTGAGTAAAGCTGTAAAGGAAGGATGTAAACATGCAGTGAGTGAGGCTGTAAAGGAAGGATGTAAACATGCAGTGAATGAGGCTGTAAAGGAAGGATGTAAACATGCAGTGAATGAGGCTGTAAAGGAAGGATGTAAACATGCAGTGAGTAAAGCTGTAAAGGAAGGATGTAAACATGCAGTGAGTGAGGCTGTAAAGGAAGGATGTAAACATGCAGTGAATGAGGCTGTAAAGGAAGGATGTAAACATGCAGTGAATGAGGCTGTAAAGGAGGGGTGTAAACATGCAGTGATGTAGAATTATGAAAGGATGCCATGATGTTTTAGGGGGGAGAGATATCACCGTGATCTCGTATAATTTCCATTAGTAGGGGTTGGCCGGAAGAGGAATGGAGCAGGACTTGAGAAAAGGAGAGCAGCCACATTAAGAGGCATACAGGGTAACAGTGAGAGAAGTGGAGACAAAGGGCTGAGTGGAAACGGATGGGGGACGGACACAAACTGAATACATCCCCTTATCTCCTCCGGGGAACATTATGGGACAAGGACACCCAAAACCACCAATCCTGACAGTACTGGGGAACCAGGACTTCCAAAACCAACAGCACTGTCAACACATGGGAGCCAAGACACCCTATCCTCCAATACATTTAGTACAGTGGAACCTCGACACCCCATCCTCCAATTTGTTCACTGCTTTTGAATCACACACCTCAACCCATCGGGACAATACTAGAAGTCCAGAGCCAATCACATTCTATCCTGGGAATTATTAGTAGTTACGATACACCGGTAATTCGTTATATCGGGCAATATTGGGCGCACACTTTATCTCAACCTACAATTCGGATAGATAGAGAATATATATATATAAACAAATGTCAGTCTGTGAAAATAAAATCTGCATCGTGTGAAGGGAAAAGCACATTAATACATACATAGCACTAGGAACTTATAAGCTGCCTAGAAATAAAAAGGTAGAGCACTCAACATGTGCTTTTCTACAATTTGAAAATGCCCGAATCCTCTGAATGAATGCCCTATACTGTATGTAGTGCTCTTTATAGTAAGTACCGTATGAAAACACAGTAATGGAACAGAGTTCCCAATGGATCCAACTGCACTAGAGCCTTGCCATAGCCAACCTCCAGTACGGCAACAATTCACTGTACCCCAGCCTCTATTTCAGGTAACAGTACACTATCTATCCTGGACAATAATGGAAACAACACCAGTCATCCAACCAGAGGGTCCATGGGACCACCGGAAAATCATAGCAATCATACTAAGGCACCCTGCTAAAATTTACGTCGATTTACCTGTATACACAAATACAAACGATTTCGTTTTGTGTTATATTTTAATATAGTCAATATACGGTCATATTTAGAGATGCACCGTCAGAAAGCACATATCCACAGTGTACAATATACCCGCTTATCAGAATATATGAATATTTCTTGGAGTCCGTTCAATGTAGATTGCTGGGGTAACAATCGACTAGCAACATTTAGGCCAAAATAACCAAATAAGACACATCGACTTGCAAAACAATAGGAAGGTTTTTCTCTAAGGTCTTTGGTGAGTAGACATAATTCGTGCATAATATAACACAAGCTTTATATAATAAACGGGTTGGTTCACATGATACAAACTCACAGTAATCCCATAGGTACATGGGACACAGCAACACCTTAACCGGTTTTGACTGATAAGATGAATTGCCGAGACCCTCATATAAAAGGGGGTTCATCCCATAAAGTAGTTAAAGGGGCAAGCTGACCTGAGATGGACCTTTGTACTTGCCATCTTTTATACAGCACAGGCCAGACTGCAGTTCCAGAGCTATTACCATGACTGACTGTCGGGATTTACTTGTTTAGGGGAAATCATGGCTGGCATCAAGTGAGGTAAATAGTACGGGGATCTCCTAATTTACCTGTCAACATACATGGGTGGGAGGGAGATATACAGATATTCCCCCACTCATTGCTTGGTATTGAACCATGGATTCTTGGATAAATTCACAGATTTTGTGATCTATATGTCTCAATTCTATAATAGCAATGCACATAAAGATGGGGTGTAATTTAGGTAGGTAGATGCCTGCAGTGCTACAATTAAGTGTACCATTTAATGTACATGGGCAAGAACAAAAAACAAAAAACAAAAAATAAAAAATACCACAAGCCAGATAACAAAAAACACAAAAAACAAACAAACCACACACACAAAAACAACAACCAAAAAAACCCCCACAAGCTCACGTTGTGATATATTACTATTAAGCAGATCTATATTCTAAGCTAAAATTTAACATTGACAAGAGATGGGAGCAGTCAATGTTAATACATCGAATAGAGCAAGTTGGGCATAATTAGGCAAACGTAAAAATCTCTTGGGGGTTAGTACTGCCATTATGCTCATTAAATCGTCAGGATGGCCAAGCATAATGAGAGTCGTAGTCCAAAGCATTTAAAGCGTTAGATTCAAGCTTTCTTCCGACTCAATGATTATACACACAGTTCTAAAAGAGGAGCAATCAGTGTGGACGTTCTACATGTTTCCATGGCGATTGCTATACTTTAGTGCTCTTTGTTCATAACCCCCATCACATTACTATTTAACAAGCGGGATTTCGCGGGAGGGGATAGCCTGCCTAACCTGTACATACGAGGCACACGCGTGATTCGTCCACGGAATAGACAGAAGCTCATTGTAGGCAGCTTGCTGACGAGGTGTGAGGCACCCAGGGCAAACAATGTACCATGGGAAATAAAAAGCTACAAAGAGGGGAACTTATGTTTTCAATTTCGGGACAGTAAAAGTAAAATAGAGATAAACTCACTAATAAGTCATCGTTGTACAAAGACTTTTTTTTTAGTAATACACTCCTTTGTTATAGGTAATATGGGAGGGGGTAGGATTTAGGCGGAACTTTGCAATTTCGGGCAACTATACTTTAATTAAAAGCAATATGACGTTTAACATTAGACCCAGGATAAACCCTTTCCAGGAAAAAAATGACAGTGTTTGTGCTAACCCAAAAGGAAGAAAGCACCCATGGAATTTCTGTTCTTTGTAATTGGCAACTACAAAAGCTTCCAAAGTACCAGGAGAGGTGCAGAGAGTTGTCACTGTGGGATCAAACAAGACACTATTCAAATCCTATTGTGCATTCAGATCCAAATATGACGTCTCCATAACAGACCCCAGGCAATATAGTAACTTCATGTACTCGGTCAGAAGGATGTAGACACAACCTGGATTTATTTGGGGGTGGGGGAGGGGGCAAACCCCATAAATTATTTTGACTGGCTTTTCTCAAAGACAAAAGAAACTTTGTGTCTACTATTGGTTCTGAAAACTTACCAAATTACCTCCAACAAGGAAGATAATGCACAGCAAGACAGTTAGTTAATTAGAAATAATCCCAACAATCAATTAACAAAAACAAAATGCAGATATTATATTGATGCAGATGTTGAACACGTCCAGTGAGCTTGTAAAGACCCACATGATAATATGGATTTCTAAAATCATCCTTCATCCCCCATAAAAGAAGGCAGTGACAAATAATGATTTTTTTCTAAAGAGAACTTTCCACTTAAATCTAATTTTCGGGTTAAAAAAATAAATAAAATTGATCTGCTTAAGTGAAATTATAATATATTAACGAATATGTTGGGATTAAAGTCAAAATGGGTGCTTTCTTAGGGGCCTGCCAGTGTTTCTGTCATAATGAGTTAAAGCAGGAACAAAACACCATCAACTGAGTAAAGAATTCATTTTCAATCAACATATCCATCACCCAGACATGTGCATGGTCACTGTTCTATGCAGATTTATTAGTTACACACGAGTTCACAGCCAGTTAGGCAATATTTCAATGATCACAACCTCAAGTCCATTTTCCCATTATATTCTCTACAATATACAGTGTATCAAAGTTCAAATTAGCAATGCTGCAACACTTAATTCTTCAAAAGCACCAGTTTTTTTGTTTGTTTTTTTTTTTTACATCTCTGACAGTTTATTTGAATTGATAGGATCAAAGAAACAAATAAGACATGTCAGTGCTGCATTTCTGAGTCCAGGTTATTTAAACATCCGACAAATAGTGATGAGCACACTGTGTCAGACCCAAGCTAAGAACTGTGGATATATGTTTAAACTGGTGACTGATTTATTGCAGGGAGTTTTTTGCTTTACCTTGGCAGGGGTGTTACTTTGTCGCCTTTGCCACTTTCTAGTTCATTATGCAAATAAAATATACAAATATAAAGTAACCAAGAAAAATCCCACTAATTTAAATCCTCTGTTTTCTTTCCATAGATTTTATTTTTGGTCAAAACTAAACATCAGATTCTAAAAAGTCGTGCATGTGCATTTCTTGCTGGTCTGCCTGAAGATCTGAGAAACAAGGTTTCATAGTTTAGCAAAAACCGACTATATACAGTAACACATCCCAGGCCAGACGTGTAGGAAATTATTGTTTACTGTCAACCCCAGTACCCCAGCAAGGCTGATCCAAGCAATATCGCTCAGTACAAAGGAGAAGATATATTTACTATGACAACTGGATACAGGATATTAAACAGCCACAAGAAACAAGAAAATACAAACATCCAATGAAACAGCTTTCCTTTCATAATCAGAAACATTTGTACCCCAAAACATATTAGTGGTATGATCGGACATATGCAGGGTTGGAAATAATTTTTGGCAAGGCATTGCATGTATGTACACACAAAAACAACCACAAACATATACTGCAAATAACATGCACCACGAAGCACTGTATGACAAGGGGGAGATTTCTGCCACCTTGACCCATGCAGACTAAACTATTTCTACAGAATATTTTGAGGACATATGCCAAACTGTGACTCCTCTCCCCTGGGAATCAGCACAGGTTATTGTTGCATAAAAATTTCTTCAACTCATAATCTGCTTTTCGTCATTGTTTCAACTTATACACTGGAAACCCGCTGTTTTGGGTAACGGAGGGGAGCGAGGGAGTAAACATGGAGCAAGGGGTGCAAGAAGGGGAGTCTGAGTACAGATGGAGGATTCAAGGTCAGGAGGCAGGGTAGAAAAACAGAAACAAACAGACAGGGGGTAAGTGAGGGCTCAGAGAGTGGCATGTAAGCAGATAGGAGATGGTACTCTTGCCCTTTGCCATGTGCCTCCCTTTTCTAAAACCCTTGATTAACCACATCTAGCCTCCACAAACCACCTGTGTACCCCATTTCCCCAACCTTGAAAATACTACCCCACCCCCTCCTTTTTATTTGTGTGCACCACCAGACCCCCCACCCCCTCCCTCTCCCCACCTCCTCCTCCCCCTTTCCACACAATCCCCACCCCCCGCCAAGGGGGGCGCCAGCCAGGGGCGGGGTATTCACGTACCTTGGGGTGCAAGACGTGGTGCTGGTTGTGGGGGGTCCCGGGGACAATGCGGTGTCCGGGGGGGCGCTCAGCGGATGAGCAGCAGCCCAGGGGCGGCCATCTTGATCCGAGCTGCAGACGCTGTCAGTACGGGGGGGCAGGGGGTCGGCACTCAGCTCATCCCCCAGCCTTGCGCCTGGCGGTGGGGGTGTTCCCCGGTTCCCTCCTTTCCCCGTGCCTGGCCGTTCACCGAGCCGCCGATCCCGCTCCTAGTGCGGGGCTCTGAGCATGCTCCGGTCGCTTTGTCCTGCTGGCTGCTCCCGCTCCCCGTGCTTCGTATCCCGGCCCTGTATGCCTCGCTCTGCGCCCGCTCTCCGTGCCCGGCTCCCCTCACTGTGCCCCGGCCCTGGCTGCCTAGCTCGGCTACTCCGCTCGCTGGAGCCTCACACTGGAAACTGACACCGTCCCCAAAATGGCTCGGAGTCCGCCCGCCCCGCGCCGTCACGTGGTCTCATTCCTTAAGGGCGGCCTGGGAATTGGTGCACACACACATCCACACACACACATTGCACTCACACTCACCGCCTCCTGCACTCAGCCCAGTATTAAATATGAATCCCCCGATCCTGACATAAAATCACATATATTTAATATTGGAATAATATAAAGGGTATTCATGGGATGTATATTTTATATGCAATTTACAGTGAAGTGATTAGAATAAACTCCTGCACACCCATATGCACTATCTGGGTGTTAATGGTGTTTCTAATAAAATCGTAGGGTAGCCGTGGGAGCCCTTGAATACAGTGAGGGGTGTTTTAGAATGTTGCAGTTTTAGAATATTACAATAATAGAATGTTGCCGTTCTAGAATATTACCAAGTTAGAATGTTACAGGTTTAGAATATTACCGATTTAGAATGTTAAAGGAGTACAGATTTATCATAATATCATGTTAGAACGTTACAGTTTTATCATATTATCATGTAACATTACTACAGAATGTTACCGTTTTAGTACATTGCAACAATATAACGTTTCAGCGTTAGAGTGTTAAATGTTATCAATGCCAAATCCTTTCCTATTGATCTAGTCTTTACTGATGCTGACCGAGGAACAAGAAATCCACGAAAGGGTTTAATTTAAAACTATGTTGTAGAGAGGTAGCGGGTACTAGTAGTAAGGGTTGGTTTAAATGTTTAAAAGCTATACCATATATATATAGAGAGAGAGGGAGAGGGCAACGATATTAACTAACAGATAAGGATTCTGAAATCAATATGTACAGAGCCAATACTGAAGATTAAACGTTAAATTGATGCATATAAGATCCCCACTGATCTTATCATACTTTATTTTAAATCGCTTTATATCAGGAAGACAGCGATATTCATAGTAAATGATTTATATAGATCAATGTGCCATCAACAAGGGGATAATTTATATCCATGAATACAGGAGTTGCTTCGCTATAAAACTTAGCGCGTGTGCCTGTTTCTTTATATGTACATGTGTTAAAAAACGCGACAAGACAAATAATGAATCTGTTTATTTAAAACACCATATTGGTGGGTACCCTGGGAGATGGGTAACTCTGCAGGGTGCAGCTATGCTTTTTGCTAATAAATGAAGTCTAGATAGATAATGTATGTTTAGGAAAATTATGAAGCAGTTTGGGGTGGATTAAAGTTTAAGGATGTTTATAAAATGCTCGCTGTGAGGGAGGTCTGTAGAAATGTAATCCATTCGATACTCGTACACTGGATCCCTTTTGGATTCATCCAGAAATCCAGTTCGTCCTATTTATCTACCGGGATCTTCCTGTTCTGAGCCCCTCAAATTTTCCTCTCGGCGCTGGGCTCAGGGGCCGTAGCTTTGGGGGGGTCTATGACTCGCTAGAGAAGGTGCCTTGTGGAGTAATGTGAGGAAAGAAAAGGGAGAACGATCCCTCTAATTTTAATTCCCCTTAAGTCACATTGACACTTAATCACTTTGTCTGAAACACCCTCGGCACACAAAGAGTTAAACATTCAATCTAACAGAAGCAACAAACACCAGGATGGCGTCTCTGTGCCTCTAGAACATTGGTTTTATTGTTACAGAGAACGCTAAATTATTAGTACAAATGACGCAATTTCTTGAACGAGACTTTTAACCCCTGCGTTCACTCTACGAATTAGCTGTTAGCATAGCTTGGACTTTACTCCTGTATCAACTGGGAGTCGTATATAGATCATATGCATAACAGGGGGCTGTGCATATATACTCCAGAAAAAGGATCCCTGGCTTTTAATTGCCCTATTTTAGTTATTCTAATATACAATTAAATATTAAAACATTATTCAAATGATACGATCTTAATCCTTAGCCAACCAAAATTATATATTTGTTTTGCTAAAATCCAGCAATTAAAGTAGTAGCATCATTGCAGAGACTCCTGTTTCTTCCTTTATGGATATATATTATTTATTTTTTTAAAGTGTTATTTATTTCTGTCAATTTGTATTGTGGAACAATCGGCATAAAACAGTAACACAATAAACCGGGTAAAACTTTAGACTATGATCGGTTTCCAACTTAGGACAAGATTGCAGAACATTGAAAGAAAAACAAAAGAGAGGAACGGGTTTAACCTTTAGGACCCAGAAAGCTTGACCACATTTCAGATACACAAAGAGTTAATTATACAAGGGGTCAGATTACAATCCTCTTGCAGTGCCTTACAGGATCAATGTGGAAAAAAAATGTAAGAAGATGGCAAAACATATAGATGGGGAAATGCTTATCAATTAACCTCTTAGATGCCAGGTTCCCGAGAAAAATACTATTTTTTTTTTTAGGCTTCTAGTTGTAGCAGCCCAGTTAGGTTTAGCAACATGCAATTAGAAAAGAAGAAAAAAAAAACCAAATACATTTCAGAACAAAAAACAACTTAATCTTATAAAGTGTAAATTGTTGAAATAAATAAAATCACACAATCTGTTTGGATCATGTTGTTTATTTGCACAAAATAATCATTCACTACACATCTTGTCTGGACTGATTTCCGGATAATGGAGGCCATGGTGGAATGTATATCTTAATGTAACCACAACAAAAATAAAAATAAAAAATAGAAAAGATTTTCATTTCACACAAGTATTATTGGACATGTTTGTGTAGCAAACAATGTTTAGTAAGAATGCAAATATTAAGAAACCATGTCAATCCACAAAAAATATTTTATTGAAAGGTTTCCCAAGAGAAGAAAATGACAATAGAGTACAAAAACAAAATAAAGTATTTATTCGGGGGAGTTGGAAGGAAAGAGACAAATAAAGATTTGTGGTAGAATCTCTTGTGTAGTAGAGAGATGAGCTGGGTTCAGATCTGACTAGTCTTCTCAAGGCTCTTTGCAGCATCCTTAAGTTTGCCCACTAAATCCTAAACAACAAAATATAATAAACAAATATATATAATCGTTTGATGTGATGGATCTGTAGTAAAGAGAAAGTGATAACTTTGGAAATAAAGGTTTGTGTAAAAACATTTCACTACATAAAAGTCTTTGTTAAGACAGAGGTTATCTAAAACATTGAACGGCAACTCTCTAAACACACAATCTCCAATCGTTCATAATCCTAAAATGCAGATATAGATATAGGTGTATTCATGAATCAAGATATGGTGTTTTTCCACTGACAGAATTAAAATTGTTCAGTTGAGAAAAACAATGTTTTCAAATTTGGTAGAGTTGTGATCTGCTCTTCTGGTTTAATTTGTGTATGTGGTGATCAACTTACCTAAACTATTTAGTTACACCCTGGGAACCTATGAACTGCACTGCATAGTGAGCAATATTCAAAGAATAAAAATGACACATTTTTGGATTCAGGTGCACTCATTAATTAATACTAAGCATATCCAAATTCAGCTCCTCTACTTCTTTCTTCTGAAGTTACACATTGCTCAACAGTAGTATACATTACTCAACATATTTACAGTGTTTGCTTGGAGACTTCAAACTACCCCTCAATAGAGCTAACATATAAACCATTTAAGGACATTTATACGTACTCTCAATCACAAAATATATAACTAAATAAATACATGCATAAAAAGGAAAACTAAAACAGAACAAGATGAAGTATATGGGATCTTAATACTATCCGGTAAAAAATTGTGTATTTATTTTGTGAATTAATGAGCTCAGAACTCTCAGGGTACTGTTAGCAGGCTGTATGCTCACCTGGCACTGAAAGAGTTAATGCTACAGCGTAATATCGATCTCAATAGGATGTATGTGTATGAAAATACCTTACTCTGTTGGTAGAGGCAATTCAGGCAGTTATCTTATAGATCCTGTAATACCAGCGCTATGAAATATGTTGGGTTTGTGAATACAACAATCACAGTTATGTCAGAGGGGCTAACACAACAGAGTGTGCTTTGCATTTATTTATTACTGAAAGTGTACAGATGAAGATTTAAGCAGTAGTACAGTGATATTTAAATGCCACATAGTCTTATTTGGTTTGGAAATCTGAAGCAGAAAAACATATAAACAGCAATTTGTCATTCAATTACGTTTTGTATTGTATTTTACAAGAGAGCTGTGTTCCCAGTTGCAGTGCTTGGCTTAATGTAGAATACTTAAAAAAAAAAAAAAATCCCTTAACCAATCTGAAATAAATAAAATACCTGCAATTGTTCCATAGAGCAGTGAAATCGTACATCTGTTGTCTGATTGGGCTCTGAACTCTGAGGGAAAGAAACAACTAAAATATATTAAAAGCATCTCCTAAATCAGAGGCTGGCATTGCCTATACTCAGGCTAGACATCATGTTAACATAGATCACATTCACCCACAGTGCCAAGACTGCACAAAACGTAATTACCTCCACATCAAATTGCACTAGGTAGGTGGGGCGGTAGGATTTGTACAGTTGATTTGCCTGGAAAATGAAACAAAGTAACTAATAAGGCTACAAAGCTGAGAAGAAAAAACAAAAACAAACACACACACTTTGATTTTCCATGTGTTTGCTATTTATTTACCTTTATTTGATATTCAAGACGCCAGGAGACATCTGATACATGTGGGGAGGAAGTACCTATGCTAAAATTAGGGAAATATTCATGAAATCACATCTGTTCGTCTAATCACTCTGCCAAAACTGCTCAATTAGATATCATCTTTTTAAAGAAGAAAGGGGCAATGGATCAGAAGGGATGGTAGTGAGTAATGGGAAAACTCACCGCTCAAGAAGGATTTCCAGAGCTTCCTTGTGTTTCTGAAATAAAGGAGATCATTGTAAAATAATGATGCACAGAAAGCAGAAATAATAGAAAAAGCAGAGGCGCATTTTTATAAGCAATGCTTGGAACCTGGTATTCTGTCCAAAACTGTTCTGTTCTCTCTTTGTCGAGTTTACAGTCTTCTAGGAATGTGCTGTGAAGAGAGAAAGGGTGAGATCAGACAGCAGATCCAGGCGGTTTTAATTTCAGATACATAGGGAGATGGTGAGGTACCTGAATGCTGCTCTGTCTGCATTGTGTTTAACAGCTTCCAGTATACAGGTAGTGGCTGCAGCATGGCTGTGTTTAACGTGGCCTGAGTCAATGTTCTGCAACTCTGGGCAGTCTATAGCAGCACAAAAACAGGAATGGAATGTTGTGAGTACAGACACATTGTCACCACAACAAAGATAGATGGATGGACAGATAGATAGATATAGATTTTTTTTTTGCATGGCGTTTATTTTGCGAATAACAATACATGTTTTGTAAATATCTGTCTACCAATGCACCTAATACTAAAATTCCAAGTAAAGAATTAAAAATACACATTATATACATATATTAAAATAGCATTATATATACACACACACCAATTTAATTGATAGAAGATAATAAATATGCCTGAAAGTATACACCGCAAAATACAAAAATAAAAAGTAGACTTTCTTGCAGACAGAACACGTTTTAAAAATGTCAACCAACACTGTACTATAGAAAGCACCGTATTCCTATAGTGAGTGCAGGGCGCGACTGGAAAAAAAAAAGGCCAGAGTGACTAGTTTGGCATTTTAGAATTGATTTATACGTTGTATGTGCAAGGTTTATGTTAGTTAAAAGGAACCCATCGATGTAAAAAATATAGTTAGCTATGTTTTTACAGTTAGGATCATTTCTTAAAAAGACTGTATGGAGTTAAACCAGTTAGGTTTTGCATTTGTTGGATACCATTTAGAATATTAGTTAGTCAACTACTTTTTCATTGATATCTGTATAATAGTTGCATAATAAAATATCTTACTAAGGGTTTTATTCTTTAAAGGTCACCTTTGGTGAACAGGCTAACACAAAATTTAGGCCGAACTCAATAAACAAATCTCCAACATTTTTCTGTTGGATTGATTTTTCAATTCTACAACTTTGGTCTAATTGTAGCCGCTCGTAAACTCGCCGTTTAGTGAATAAACCCCTTGGTCTGTGTGTTTGAAAGGAGGCATGATACACCTCACTGATGGCACCATTGCAGTGCATGGGATGAGGATCTAACAAGTCGATCATAGCTAAGTGCAATTCACAGATTTGCCCACTAGTGGTAAATTACCGCACAAAGTATTCAATAATTCGATTCGTGGAATCTTCCTTTCAGATTCGAATTTGTGACTGATTACATATATACGAATATTAAATATAATAATAATATAGTCTCATGTTCAATAAAGCAAGAACGGTAATGAAATACCAAAACAAAGTTATTTACTTTTTATTTTGTATTTTAAAAGGAGCGTTCCAAAGCCCAGATGTTGTTTCTCCCAATAAAATAAACTCAAAATATATATAATAATAATAATAATAATAAACCAGAATTAAAACTATCAACTAGCACAGAAATATATTAGTTAAATCGATCCAAGGCCAGTTTGCGAAATCCATGGGGTATATCTACTAAACCGCGAACTGTGAGTTGAAAAATGAAATGCAAAATCAAGGCTAAAGTTGCTTAGCTATGACTATAGTTACGTGGGTTTTTAACAATTTTTATTTTTTACAAAGCTGAAATCTTTGGAACTCGGTTTTCAATTTGCTACAATTCGATGTTTAGTAAATAAAACCGGTATTTATCAAACGGTCGATAGTCTAGTTCAGGCATAGGCAACCTTCGGCACTTCAGATGTTTTGGACTATACCTTCCATGATGCTTTGCAGGCATTATGGGGGATGTAGTACACAACATCTGGAGTGCCGAAGGTTGCCTATCCCTGATCTAATTCGTCGAAACCGCAGCTCGAAGCAATTATATAAACTAAATATGAAGAACTATTTTTTAAGGCAGATTTTCAGACAGAGCCATGCTTTTAATCTCACCCTTATGATCTGTCCACTTCAACCCATCGAGTAAATGTCAAAACCTGGCTGGATCATTCTCAGAGACCAGCAGGCGAATATGTGACATAATAGCGTCATATGTGACACAATAGCGCCAGATTTACAAAGAAAATATTTACCAATACTAACGAATCACATTTGCAGTTTAGATACATGGCCAGTCCGTTTATTTGTTTCATTTGTAGCTATGGATGATCTACTGAAACCAAGTAGCCACCTCCCCTTTTTACAACTGACAACATGGACAAACTTTTTTAAACGCAAACTAAATCTGAGTCACTAGAATGATCTTATTTTAGAACATCAGAATTCACATGTATTTTTATTATTTGTTTTGAAATAATGTCTTAGCCAATTTAATTATGGTTCCAGTCCTGTTTTGTTGATAAGATTCATAGATTAGGACACACAAAAATACATATTATTATGAGATCCAAAAAGGTTTAAGTAACCGACTGGGATATATTAGCTCAAAAAGGCCTTTTGTACACTCATATTTTGTGTTTTATTCACTAATTAGCAACTAGTGGTGACTTGAGAAACGACTTATAAAATTTTAGTCAAAGATCAGTGTTAGAAAGAAAAAAAAACTATAAATTCAGAAAAGTTGTTTTTTTCTGCAAGTCTTAATTTGTCTGAATTTAACAAGCTGGTCACCAAACTTCTTGGCTTAGTAAATAAAGCTCAGTGTTTTATAATACATTAACTGCTATCCATTAAACATAATTAACCAAGCCTGTTCTAACCATCTTAGTAATGTGGCATAAGATGTGCTGGGTTAGGAAAATCATGGGTTAGTAATTGTGGTTACATAGGGATAAAGTCCAAACCATAAGCTATTTTATAAAGACATCAATCATAGGAATCTGAAGAAAGATGTATCATTTGCTGTAACATTCGGATGGGCTCAGAGTTGTTTAATTATCAAACAGATCTAGATAATATTTTTATAATTGTGGATGTTGGTGCTAGGGGGATATGGATGCAGTACAATCTTGCAGTAAAGCCAGCGATTTAGTGAAGATCTATCTCCTAATCCAGAGGAAATGAGTTATTCTGACAGTGTATTACAAATTAAAAGGATAACTAGGCTGGATAATCTATACTCCACAGTGCCAGATAACCAGCAGAGCTTCAGGGATATTGGACCGTGGTCACACTATATTTGTTCATTATTGCTGTATGTATTTAAATATTGTGTGTATTGTATGGTACGCAATGACTATCAAATGTTCTCTAGTGATAGCTTGTCTAATACCAGGACACAAACAAAAACAATGCCTAAATAGAACACGTGATTCATCGCCTAATACAGAACAAGTGACAACACAACTTAATACGTTGTTGATAAAATGCCCATTGCTTATTAAGTGATAGTACAGGACACAAAACCAATTATAAATGACACAATGTCTAACACTGAACACATATTTCCAACAACAATGTAAATGTACGGTTTACACGTTTCATACAAAAATGTTGGAGGCGTTGAGGGGACTCAAATACATTCAAATAAGAAATCTAAATAACGGTGGCCAGCCATGCAAAGACTATTTATTATACAACTTTTCAAAACAGGACATATCTCTTATGTAGTAGAAAAAAATATTGTACAGACGTGTAATCGAGAACAATGCAGTACAAGAGTCACAATTCCAATACAAATAATTTGTTTAGAGTGTACAATACACAACAAAGCTGATTCCCAATACAGAGAATATGCTGTAATATAGAATACAAAATAACTGATCGAACACGTGTTTCAATATTTAAAACGTGTTTTAATATATAGGATAAAAAATATGTCTTGTTCAGAATAAGGGTTTCTATGTATATATAAGACAGTACGTTTTTTCCCCATTGCCTAATACAAAACGTTAACATACTTGATAGAAAACCAATACTAATACTTAGTGCAGAATGTTACACTGTGTAATACAGAACGACTACCCAAATATGTATTTGCGAACACATTCTCCAATGTACAATATGAATTATAGTTCAAAGCCATCACACAGAACAAGTGCTCTAATGCTTAATATTGGAGGGACTTTGCAATATGTAAAACACCAGTGATCCAATTCCTCAATACTAAAAAAAGGGCTTAATGTCCAATACAGAGAAAAATCTTCCAATGTGTAATACAGAACAGGCCCCCATTACCTAATACAGGAAAACGTTTGCAATGTTTAATACAGAACCAGTGATTTCATGCCTAATACAGAACACATGTTCCAATGTGTAATTCAGAACGATTGCTTAAATATGTTATAAAGAGCAAGTGAATTAATATCAAGCAAATGTTACAATGTCACATAAATCCCCCCTCCACCCCCCAAATATAGAAAGGGTTTCAGTGTGCAACAAAGACTGTCTAACGCATAACACAACAACCCTCTGTATTTGTAATAAAGAACAACTTGTACACATACGTGTATAACTCAGAACAAATATTACAATGTGCCAGAGTAACATATCTGACAGCAAAAAAACGCCAACAGGCCCAACTAATCTACATAAACTATATCAAAAAGAGATCGAAACAACTGTAAAATCAAAATAGATGTGTCCACAATAATGGAGATCTTTTCAGGCCCATAGTACTGTTACAGCAAGGAGTATAGAATTAGTGCTGTGTATACTACAGAACATAACACATAAATGTAAAATGACCAGCAGTGAATGTACTTACCGCTATATATCAAACATACACTTGCACACAGGCTAAAACTAACAAATACAGCAGTGTACACAAACTCTTGTACAAACACACAACATTAAACAACCAAATAGAGCGATAAAGGGCACTAGATATTGGTATTTTTCTATTCTAATCTAAGAAAATGAAAGCAGGAATTCAAATCCAAACGAAACCCTATAAATGCCCGGCAGGGACCTGCACATGTACGTGTTTTATAAAGCACATTGGTCTATGATTTATCTTGATATTAGTGGATCACCCCATTAGTTCATACAGATATCAGATATCTCGCTGCGATATGTACTGAATTACGGCAGTGTACAAGAACTTTGAAAAGATAGTGCCTTGCGTGTTTCATTTTGTACATACTTGTTGGCCTGCTTATTAAGGTTACATTTAGCAAGAAGACTTGTTGGTATTCCTGGGAGTGACAAAGAGAAATTAACAGGAGGTCCCAGATAGTAGATGTCCCAATTTAACCCACAACAGTCTCAATAAGAGTGCAGAATAAAATCACACCACACTTAGAGCAGCCACCTAAAGCAATATATAGAGAGGGTACAATTGCAAAGTGGAATTACTCCCTACCAGTAGTGTAACCCTCATCATGTTTGTTCCACTTATAACTTAGTGTTTGTAGCCTCTCTGTTACTGTAGCTAGTGCATCTATCTCACGCCATGTTATAACGTCCTGTTGTGGATTGTGATATTGATTTGTCCGTTACTTTCCTTGTTATTTAGATATTAGATTATTGTTGTACACTCCATTAGTACTTCTTATATTTTGTATATATTCTAACGTTTGTAAACCGTTTTCTCCATTTTCAGATTTTTCAAGAAACATATCAGCCACAAAACAAACCAAGTTTCCCGGTAAGTGTACTGTTGATGCTCTACCTCAGATATTGTGTCTAATGTATCCAAGTAAAACATACGCTACCATAGTGCAAAGAACTACATGTGGAAAGACGTTCTTTTGGTTTCCATGGTGAATGCTTCTAGTTTAGCACTTCGACTTACAATAACAACCTATTTCCCTTAATAAATAAAAGCACTGTAGCTCCAGGCGTCCACAAACTTAGCTACAACATCCTCTCTACATTAGATCCTTCCCCACACTCAACACCTAAACCACGCCCACAAAATCACTAGATTTCTCACACACTTTCAACCCCTAGATCTCACACACAAAACACACTCAGCCCCCTAGTTCCTCCACAACCAAAACACACTCAGCCCCCTAGATCCTCCACAACCAAAACACACTCAGCCCCCTAGATCCTCCACACCCAAAACACACTCAGCCCCCTAGTTCCTCCACACCCAAAACACACTCAGCCCCCTAGATCCTCCTCCACACACCCAAAACACACTCAGCCCCCTAGTTCCTCCACACCCAAAACACACACAGCCCCCTAGTTCCTCCACACCCAAAACACACTCAGCCCCCTAGTTCCTCCCACACCCAAAACACACTCAGCCCCCTAGATCTTCCACACCCAAAACACACTCAGCCCCCTAGATCTTCCACACCCAAAACACACTCAGCCCCCTAGATCCTCCACACCCAAAACACACTCAGCCCCCTAGATCCTCCACACCCAAAACACACTCAGCCCCTAGATCTTCCACACCCAAAACACAATCAGCCCCTAGATCCCACACCCAAAACACACTCAGCCCCTAGACCCCACACCCAAAATACACTCAGCCCCTAGATCCCACACAACATAGTCAGCCCCTAGATCCCACACGCTAAACACACTCAGCCCCTAGATCCACCACACAAACACACTCAGCCCCTAGATCCACCACACAAACACACTCAGCCCCTAGATCCACCACACAAACACACTCAGCCCCTAGATCCACCACACAAACACACTTAGCCCCTAGATCCACCACACAAACACACTCAGCCCCTAGATCCACCACACAAACACACTCAGCCCCTAGATCCACCACACAAACACACTCAGCCCCTAGATCCACCACACAAACACACTCAGCCCATAGATCCCCACACAAACACACTCAGCCCATAGATCATACACACACACACACACACTCAGCCCCTGGATCCTCCGCACAAACACACTCAGCCCATAGATCCTCCGCACAAACACACTCGGCTCCTAGCTCCTCCGCACAAACATACTCGGCTCCTAGCTCCTCCGCACAAACACACTCGGCTCCTAGCTCCTCCGCACAAACACACTCAGCCCCTAGATCCTCCGCACAAACATGCTCAGTCCGTATTTCCCACATACACAACACACAAAAATACACTCAGCCCCTAGATCCCACATACATAACATACTCAGTCCCCAAATCCACATAAAAATACGCTCGGCCTCAGGATGCCACACACAAACACACTCAGCCACCTCCCACACTCGTCCTCTAGTCTAATGCCCCCTCCACAGACACACACGAAGCCCCTAGTTCCCCCCACACTCACTCTCCCAAGATCTTTCCCCCACAAATATACCCACAACAACCCCTAGATCTCACATACATAGACACAAACACATACTCATGGCATAGTCAATGCACGTAGTACACTCAGCTCCCACACTTTCTATATTCAAAGTACATTCACTCACTTTGCAGTTATTTTTAGGTGGCATTGCCCCCGGATATAACTGACCCCCGAAGAGCAGTTATACACCCACCGATGCTGGGCAGGCTGGGTGTATAACTGCACTGGAAACCTCCAGCCCATTCATACTACCTGCCTTTTCCCGTTCGCCCGGCAAGTCGCCTGCCCCCTGACACCATTTGCCCCGCTAGCCTGCTGCCTCCTCCCCTCCCCGTTCCCCCCAAGCCCCCGTTTGCCCTGCTAGCCCGCTGCCTGTTTGAGCTGAAATGGTGGCCAGTAGCAGGAAGCAGAACAAAGCTATGGAAGCTGGGCTGCCTGTGTGAGCTTCACTAAGCATGCATTCAAACTCTGACCGCATCATGGTCGAGTCACCGAGTGTAGGGCCCCCTACTAGCCCGAACCCCCCAGATCCATGCTGCGGGGTTCACACATTTCCAGGGAAAAGCTGCACAAAGACAGGACCCTGCCTCCATGCCAGCCCCGCCTGATCCTCCTACTACGGCCTTACCTAGGGCTGTGTCTGCGGCCTGCTCCCCGCTCAGGCTCAGGAAAGCCGCCCGGAGCAGAGCCGTAAAGGATTTGGGGCCAAAACGGGCTGAATCCGCTAAGCGGTGCAAACCCCTCTGCAAGTCTTCCGACAGCTCCATTGTGAGCAGAGCGACCTTCCACCCCACCACGTGACCACACCAGCTGACAGCAGCAGCAATACAGAGGACGGTGCAGCATGGGAGCTGAGAATGGGCAGAGAGCCTGCCCTGCTGTGGGCTATTACCCATGGGGAGAGAGAACTAGATATCTACAATCACACACAATTTAACTATAATGTAACTAAAGTGAGATGCAAAGATGAGATTGAAATGAGAGAATACGGAGCAAATAGATGAACTTCTTTGTTTTTTGTTCTAAGCTGGAAATTTTGGAGGCATTCAGACATAAATTCTTTCAGAGGTACTCTATACACCTACTTCTTTTTACATCTAAGACTTTATTTTTGTCTTTTAACTTCTACATTTTGTAGTGTGCATGAGACCATACCCTTTGGCTTGCTACAGACACCATTGGAAAGGGAATGAAAAACAGCTGGAGAGAGTCAATTGACAGCTATCATTACATTAATGTGAGACATATACTGCAGAGGCAAGATGAATAATATCAGATGGTGCCTGAGGTTGATGGCAGTTATAGTTCAACTCCAAACTGGAAAGTTGCTATTGTCAAGCACAGCTCTAATGTACCATAGAGAGACGTGGTCATGTCAGATTAACAAACGTGGGCTCAACTGTTATATTAACATGCATATTAAATAATGATCTCTATGACCTTTATATCTAGGTGACCCTTTCTTCATTTTACTATAGATGCTTATACAAGCAGGAACCCATACATGTTACAGCCAATGTACTGGTTAGGTTACAGTATATTGTGTTGGATGAGGTTTTTTTTTTTTTTTTTATTACTCAAATTATTTTAAATAATTAAGTGACATTGTCACCAAAATAAACTTTATCTAATATGTTTCCATATGGCTCTCTGTGTCTGAATTTATTTTTATTTTTTCCTGAGCACTCTAGTTTTCATAAAATACATAAAGGAAACTAGGGACTCCTTTTTTCTAGTGTATCGCAGTCAAGCTGCTAGAATTTAATTTGCGCGGATCTTAACAGGACACTATGGGCACCATAACTACTTTGTCTTATTGAAATGATTATATTGCCTGGAGTCCACTAGAGCTGTCCTTTCATTCAGCATTTAACTGTTTTAAAATATTTTTAATGTTGTACTTGTTGGGCTAATGAGGAAGCATTAACCTGTGCAGCGGTGGGCGGCTGTAATTGGCTGAGAATGTCAGCTGACCTCATTCAGTCTATTACAGTGCCATTGCAGCTATGGCTAGGTATGGCTACAAGCAAATGTGCAATCAGGGACCCACATTCAGTGTCAAACTTCTCGAAAATAGTTTATCACTGAATGGAGGGACAGTGCCGGGGGACTCCAGGCACTATAACTAGTTCAATAAGATGGAATAGTTATAGTGCCTATAGTTCCCCCTTAAATCAAGATATTTACCCACAATTCATCATTCAAAAGAATCCCACAGAAAGACAAACAGCAGGCATCATGGGAAGAGAAGAACAAAATGGCTGCAGACACATACTGATATCCAGCATAAAAAGGAAAACAATACTACATATATATAAAGGCGCGGGGCAAGCAGGGGAGTTTAATAATTAAGATACAAGGGGCATTAGTAAAGAAAAACTGAAAGAAAAAAAACATGACAGAGCTGCATTTGTTTTTTCTCTCTACTCTTCCTACCCCTTGCAGTGTTTACTCCCCCCCAACAATACTGATCTATATGATGTCACAAGTTTATCTGTCAGCTTTCTACAGTAGAAATTGGACAATTGAACTACAGTACCCCGTAAAACCCTTGCTTTGTCTATAGTCTATAAGCCCTTGCTGTGGTAAAAAGTTCAGCAGCACATTAGAAAGTTAATTGAGCTTGACGGTCAAGTGAATTCTTAGTTTGGCAAGGCTCACCGCAGAAGCTGCAAATCCTAGATTTTTGTAGCAAATGCAGGGACTTGTGTATATATATATATATATATAGTTATATAATTCACTAGTTTTTCCTATGAAGCACTGACTTTAATGCATTTTTATACTCATCCCTTGGTGCCAAACTTGCAGTGCACTATCCATACCCACAGTACTCTTTCAGTGAATTTCAAAATGTAATCTATTCTCTTTCAGTTTGGCTAATTTGGCCTGAGATTTCAAATTCACTTTGAATTCACAGATCTTCTCAGTTTATTGAATAATGCTGTCTGAATTCCTAACTATTCAAACGTTAGTGAAAAAACTTTCAGGGTTATTTACTAAAGTGAGAATTATTATTATTAATATTATTGGTATTTATATAGCACCAACTTATTCCTCAGCACCTTACAATATTATTCAAATGGAAGGTCAAAATAGCCAAACTAGAAAAAAAATCTATATGTTAGCTATGCTATTATTTTGGTTAAGGTGGCCTAAAATTTTAAATTTAATTGAATTCCCACTTTAGTAAATAACCCTGTTTATTTAGCATCCAAACATTTTTTTATCAATGCTAATGTTTATGTGTGACTTTTAAAGGAGTAATCAAGACAGCTCTCCCTGTTCAAGATTCAGTTTGCAATGCAAAATGAAATCTATGCCAGAGATCCGTATTGTCAGTCTACATTGCTGCCCCTCTCAAAGACAACAGCACTATTTATAGGTCCAGCTTCATTCCTGCATTATTTGGTTTGAAAAGAGGGGGACGGGACTTAGTGCACAGTCTAGACTAGAGGTAGGCAACATTCGACACTTCATGCGTTGTGGACTACATCTCCCTTAATGTTGTCTGCCCCTGGTCTAGATATTAAAGATATGCCCATTGGCATGTTTAGGCAGAGCCGCTATCAGGGTGTGACAAGCATGACGGCCCATATTATCGCTATATGTGTGACCCTCCAGGCATACTGCCTGTATAGTGAAGAGGGGGCCCAGCATACGCAACTCTTGTGTCAGACCTTTGCAGCAGATTACCATGGCAACGCATTACACATCATGCACACCGGGCTTACGAGAGTTGAAGAGAGGAACTCCCAGAAGCTGTTGGCATTGGCTGGGTCCCCTCCTCACTACGCAGCGTGTGGCAACCTGCACAATTATTATTATATTTATATAGCGCCAACAAATTCCGTAGCGCTTTACAATAATGCCACTAGACCACAAGGGAGTGTAATTTACCACTCCCTGGCCACAGGTAAGAGGCATGAAGGAGGACCAAATTACATTTATAAAAATAAATTTAAAAATAAAAAATCTTTTTCTCACAGAATGCAGCCCCTATCCTAGACCACATATTTATGCACACTACATCCACTACACAAGCACACACTCCGCATTCACTATACAAACAGCATCCACTATACATTGCATACACTACACAAACACACACACTGTATTCACTAAACATACTGCATCCACTACACAAACACACATACTGCATCTACTACACACACTACATCCATTACACAAACATACAATCTGCATTCACTATACATACACACTCTGCACACTGCATCCACTACACACATTGCATCCTCTACATAAACCGCGTCCACTTTGTACACATACACTGCACATGCACACTGCATCACTATGCACACACAGTCTGCATTCACTATACTCACCCTCTTCATCCACTACACAGACACACTCTGCATCCACCACACACACACACTTTACATTTACTATAAACGCACTGCATCTACTACACACCAACTGCATAAACTACACACATACGCTACATTCTTGTGGACAGACTCAGGATGGACCCTGTGGGCAGACTCGGGGGCAGGCCTCGGGAGGCCCAGACCTTGAGCTGTGTAAGGGGCCCTAGAATTTCTGATGGCAGCCCTGTGTATAGTACAGATCATTGATGCAACTGTGCTTGGTTTTTACATTCTCCTGGCATTTTTAGGAAGATTCACTCTTACAAATACCATCAAGTTCCTAACAAATATTTTCTGTGCTTTGAAAATGGTATGTCTGCTCTATACAATATTCTAGCCCCTCACTTTTTTCTTTAAAAAATGCTGAAAAAAAATGCAAATTAAAAGTGTAATCTGAGTATGCATCTTTTTATTTTCATGTACCAAAAGACACAAAATTTAAATTTTGGTCCAATTTGTATGTGCTCGCTATAAAACCCTTATGTCAAATACATGTTAATAAACTTCATCTTTTAAACAAAAGTATTTTGTGAATAAGTACATTTGGACTATAATGGGTAACATGTGCACTGATTATTGCAATCTATATTTTATTCTGTAAACCTGTGGAATAAGCAATTTGTTATATGTCCCTCATTAAACCAGCAAATCTATTTTAAGGAGCAAAGCCAGTCATCAACCTTCACTTCTTGATTTATAAGCCCTCTTCACTACCAATGGGTTGTGAGCAATAAACAACTGACTAGCAAAGTGTAGATTAAATTATCCACTGTGCCCCAAATAGCCAAATGAAAAGAAATCACCAGCTCAGCTATTTCTCAGTTCAGCCTAGCCTAAAACTGTCAGTTCATTTGTCAATTCTGCACAATTCTCTATGCGTATTCACCCAAGTGGTTTATTCACTATACGCTGAGCTATGCCAGATTGACATCAAAATGGGAAAATTTAGGCAACGATAGCCAAGCCGTCACTATAGCCAAGTTGGAGAATATTTCCAAAGTGAATTTTCCAAGTCAAATTGGAAAAATTCTGCAAGTCAGTTAAGTTTTCAGTTCAACTATTTTAGCCTAAAAGTGAGTAGTCACTTTGAATTCACTTTGAATTTCAAGCAAATCACACAAAATATAATTCTGTCACCGAATAACATAACAGAAGAAAACAATCTTGTCTGAACTGTAGATTTTTTTTCGACTTGGCCTAAATTATGCCTACAACTATCATTAACTCACCGCAACTAACTACTCCATCAACAGACCTCGGGAATCAAGATTTGTTTCACAATAATTCTAATACTAATTATAAGATTATTTGATTGTTTTTGGTATTAGACATTCAGGTTTATTCAGCAAAGTTTAAATTGTCAGGAATTGAAAATTAAT